AGGAGGGGAGCAGAGGGGCACTAACCTTTCTTTTACTTTTAGCCTCTTTGTCCTGTTTGCTCCGTGTTCACGAGATCACAGCACTGTAGTATAGTTTGTTTTTCTTTTCCACACTTCCCTAGTCAAAGCAACACACAAGCTCCCTAAAGGCCAGTTGTTAAAGAGTCAAGAAAACCAAGGAAACCTAAAGCCCACCTGAGAGGAGTGGAAGAGAGCATGGGCACCTCCTGTCACTGGCAGAGAGACTGGAGGTGCAGCCACATCTGACTGCTCTTCCTTCCTGTATCTATACCAACATTGCTCTGTTTTCTGCCTCTGGATTTCCAAGACAGATGCCCAATTCCCAGCCTGGCACAGGTCCAGTGTAGGGTGGTCCCCTCTGGTTCTTCATACAGGAGTCTTCTCACATTTGTGGCTTTCTACACACCCCCTAAAAATTCTTCCAAGATGGGTACAACCACCCCTTAGGACTGCCCCACAACTGTGTTGCTCAATGCTTTCTAGAAAAGAGCTGGAGTTCTTCAGAAGGTGTGTGTCTGGCAGAGTCCTCTGGACCAAGGCATGGTCCTCTGTAACACTTAATAGGGCTGGTGCAGTCCTGTCTGAAGATGGTCCTCTGGGAGTCCGTTTTGGGAAGCTGACTCCAAGGGGAGGTCCTTCTTGGTTGTGCCTCTAAAGAGCAACCTGGTTTCTTTCCCCAGCTACCTGGCCAATGACATGGAGGAGGACAACCAGGCTCCTAAACAAGAAATCTTTCGTTTCCTCTATGGGAAGAGCTACGCCCAGCGTCCCCTGTTCCACAAACTGCGATATCAGTTCATCTGCTCCATGGACTGGAACACTCGGGTTTCCAAGGAGGAGTGTGAGGAGGTGGGTGGTGCTGTGTGTGCTTGTGGGGGGAGAGGGATGGGCTGACTGGAGTGACACAGGAAGGTGGGTGGCTGCAGGTGGGCTCTGGGGAGGAGAAAGCTCAGGAGGGAGGGAAGGACTTCCTGGGCAGTCCTCAGTTTTGCATTTAACCATGTTACTAAGTATTCTTGATGGATCCAAGCAGAAATATTACTAATGTTCAACCACTATTCTACTCAAATCAGGGACAATGATAAAGCTTGTCTCTTGATAAAATCAACTTTTCAAATTTGATGGGAAGGGACACCAAAAGGATTCTATCTGTCAAAGCATCTTTACAAATGCTTAATTTATTTATCTGATATAGGAAAATATACTCGATTTTTATTGAAAAGAAATCTGAAAAAATGTGTCCCACATTTTATATAACATGATCCTGATAAGTGTCGTCCATGTGAGTAATAGCTGAAATAATGTTGTGATATCCGTATATAGCTACTTCATTTGTCACCAGGCTAAATAAATCTAATAATTACACCTTGCTATGTCACCTCCTTTGTAGCTGACAGAACTTAGTTAATAGAATCAAGCCTCTCAACATTGTAGTTTTAGATATTTATAGACTGTGTGAATCACGGTGACTAGAAAGTCCAAATCAAAGTGAAGTGATTTTAAGGAATGGGAAAATAAATTAACCATAACTTCAAACCCCTCAATATCCTGTAAAGTCATCAGCTTTGGTGGGGGCTCTTTTCCTTTCCAGATTCAAGCTTATGATCCGGAGCTCTGGGTGTGGGGCCGGGATCGCACCCTCATTGCCTAGAAGTCCTGGAACTACGTTGGCCTGAGGGGAGGGACAAAATTCTGTATCCCTGGCTTGATGACAGACAGAGTCAGTGATTTTCTATTCAGGATGCTCGAGGACCTACCTTCTTGATCCAGTCCTGTCCACCTCCACCCACAGCCACCCTCTGCAGATGGTGAAACAGCCTGAATCTCCAAGTCAGCTTCATGGTCTCAAACTCCAACCACACAGATGACCCCCTAGAGGTGTGCTGGGGGCTCTGAGGTTGCTCAGCTAGACCTGAGAGAGAACAGTTTATCACTCAGGATGTGCTAGAAATCCTAAACCCACAGGAATTGGGCCCACATGTCAGCTCCGATGAATGGTTGATCTTGGTCTAAAGTGAATATCCTTTAGCTATGAATCTCTCTCTCCCCCTGTAAATTCTCTTTTTACCTCTCCTTTTAATTCATCTTGGGTCACATATCCCTTAAGGATACCAAGCATGAAGATGATTTATTTATATGATTGTCACAGTTTTAGTACATGTGATAAATGTCATTTATTTTGAACACTGTTTATTTTAAATAGTTCTGAGATAGATATTGTTTGGAAATTTGTTTTTCCTTATTAGTTTTGTAATGAGTGTTATAACATGTTTGTGTTCATATATATATTTCTCTGAGGTTTTTATTCTTTTTATCTATTTTATCATATTACTTTTATACCTCAGTGTTATTAACCCATAATCTAATAAATATAAAATTTTCATGTGATGTTCTATCATCATTATGGTGAATATCAAGCTGCTGTTATTTAACTTTTCTTTAAATGTTTTTCTGTAGTGTATATTGTAAGAGAGCACATATGTTATGTGCTTGTGAAGAGTACAGCACAGTGCATTTGTGAGGAAACTGAATAAAGTTGAAACTCTTCTTACTGTAATGATGCATATGATCTTGTCATTCTGGATTATTTTTTTGTTGTCAAACAATACAGGGTTGTGGTTAATTGACCAAATTTCTTACTTGTGGGAGAAAAACACCTCATTTTTTAGGTAGCGAAATAACAGAGAAGGTTGCAGAACTTAAAGTAGAGACTGGAAGAGGAAACACAGGAAGTCACTGAGAGAGACAACACAGGAAGAGTGAAAGAAAATTTAAAGGAAGCTGTACAATAATCTTAAATCCAAAATCGAGGAGAGCATATAACAGGAGATGGCTTCCTGGTAATGTCCAAGGTTAGGAACACAGGGGGAATAGTAGTCTTTGCTACTTGAGTCAAAATGGGAGTCTTCTCCACAACCTGTGTTTCTAATTTTACATGACAGAAGAAAATCCAAAGAGTCTTCTTGAAATAGAAACTTGTGAAGGGAAATGAAGGTACTAGAGCAGGTTGGAAGAAGAATGAGATGATAGGAAGACCTCGAGCTGGTAAATAGAAGGCACAGAGAGGAAAGAGCTAAGAGTTTGGGCAATGAATGACTGTAGACAAGTACCTTGAGAGATGAGAGCATCAGAGAATATGGGAACAGCTGGAAAGAAGCAGGTAAAGCAAAGTATCAGCCAGAAGAAAAACAAAGCTAAAGAGAGGTGGCAACGGAGCCATCGATGAGATGTGATGTGGGGTTGGAGAGGCAAGTGGAGATGATGTGAAGGGATTGGAAGGGACCAATATTGAATGAGCTTAAGATTGGTTGAATGTGTTAAAAGAGGGATGGTGGTTGGGTGAATGGAGTAACTTCAGAGGTAAAAGTACCAAAAAGGAAGAAGTCATTAAAGACAGCACTGTGTAAAGCAAATCTGATGCTGATCAACCACATGAAGGTCATGTGCTACCCGTTGAGGCCACAGGCCGCCCCTACACCATCTTCTTTTTAGACATCAGCCATAAGCTCCGGGTTTCCCAGGCCACTCGCACTTCTCACCAATGGCTGCAAATTCGGGGATTCCCATGATCCTATTGTATAATTTTCTATTAACATCTCACTGAGGTTAGGAGAGCACGAATCCTATAATTACTGATTTGTCATGTAAAAAAGGACACAAATTGGGACCAGCTAAGAGAAGAGACTCAATTTTTAAAATTTCCTATGCCCTTTTTTATTAGCCACAGAATGCTTAGCTCACTGTGAACCACTGCAATCAAAGAGGGGAAGATTCCAATATTTCCAGAGATATTTTCTAAGAAATGATTGCATAAATCTGTAATATGTTGGAAGAATTATCAAAAAGATTAGACAGAAGGGCTAGTGGTATAGTTCACTGATAGATTTTGGTTACCATGTGCAAGGCCCTGGATTCAATCCCCAGCACCAAAACAAAATAAAGGGGGTGGCACAGAATCAGTATAACTATAACTCATTAATAAAGAGATAAATAAACTTGTTTATCCTTTTACAGAATTAGTTCTCCAAAACTGATGGCCAATGAGCACATGAAAGGTCAACACCTTTTAGTCAACTGGTCATCAAAAAATGCAAATCAAAACTACTAGATACCATTTCCTGATCACTAGGATGTCTATAATCAGGAAGTCTAATAATGTGTTGGTTAGGATGAGAAATTAGAACCCTTTACACTGCTGATGGGAGAGTAAAAGGTGCAGCTGCTCAGAAGTCTGACAGTTCCTCAAAAGGTTAAATGTAGAGCGGCTGGGGTTGTGGTTCAGTGGTAGAGCACTTGCCTAGCATGTGTCAGACACTGGTTTAGATTCTCAGCACCCTATAAAAATAAAAAAAGGTCCACTGACAACTAAAAAATACTTTTTGAAAAAAGGTTAAATGTAGAGTTACCACATGACCCAGCAAGTCCACTCCCAGATATATACCTGAGAGAAATAAAAACACACTTCTGTACAAACACTTGTGTGCAAATATTCATAGCAGCATTATTGGTAATATTTAAAAAGAGAAATACTCAAATATTCACCAACTGATGAGTAAAATGGGGTCCCTTCAATGTCAATTTAATCAGCCATAAGAAGGAATAAAGGTCTAAGCATGAATAACATGGGTGAACCATGAAAACATTATGCTAAGAAGCCAGACTAAAAGATAACACAGTGGATAATTCCACTTCTCTGATGTCCAGAATAGGCAAATCTATGGAGACAGAATGCAGATGAGTAGGTGCCTAGGGCTTGGTGAACTGTGGGGGGAAATGCTAATTGGTACTGACAGGATTTCTTTTGGAGGTGATGAAATGTTTGGAAGTTGATTGTGGTGATAGTTACACAACTCTGACATGTACTAAAAACCCTGAGTTGTATACTTTAAATGGGTGGATCACAGGGTATGCAAATTACATCTCAATAAACTATGAAAATAAAATGAAATAGGTGTCAAATAGAAAAGGCTATTCTTTACCTTTCATGGTGACACACATGATGGTTGACACAATAGCTATAACAACTGCCAGGAGGACCCTGAGGAAGATCAAGTAACTGCTGAGCAGGATTCCACAAGCACATCAAATCTCCTTTGCTGCATGACATGCGAAGTCAAAATGCCAATCCACCTGTCCAGAAATAGGGAGGGTCAGAAATGGAATCGAAAGAGCTGCTTTGTAACACATGATACAAAGAAGTAAAGGGAGGTAATATTTTCCAAAACAAGGTAACCCTGACTATGGAATATAATTTTCATTAATATAAAGACACACTAAGTCTGCTATTTGAGGAGGCATCCTGGGAGCCTTCTGGAGATTTGCGGCTTCTGCATTTCTGTCCACCCTACAAAAATAAGGCTCCCAAGGTAAGCTAATTCATTTTTTGGTTCCTGGGATTGAACCCAGGGGTATTAACCACTGAGCTACATCCCCAGCCCTTTAGAGATGGTCTGGCTAAGTTGTCCAGGCTGGCCTAGAATTGTTACAGTCCTCCCTTGGTCTCTCCTGAGTCGCTGGAGATTACAGGCTTGAGCCACCAGGCCCAGCGTGGCCTAAGCTAATTCTTCAGATCAAAGTAAGACTAGCATATTGAATAAGAGGGTCTGGACTGGGGTACAGAGAAAATCCTGCCTCTGCCCCACTATCCAAAGAGGACAGGCTGGGGTGAAAAGGGAATCTGGTTTTCCCTAGAGACATTATTACTAGGTACCCAGCTGTGACCCCTAACTCTAGCCTATTTTCCATATGCCTAATTTCTAGTGGCCAATGGTTTTGACATTAATGTTCCAATTTGGGAAATTTCCAATCCAAATCCTTCAGCTACAAAGGGAATTCAGGGTTTTTACACACTTTAGATATTCTCTGGATTCCCATGTGCCTTAGATCCCTGTTACCACTGGGCCCCCAAAGGGAACTGGGAATGTGGGGATCTGCTGGAGGCTTAGCCATTGCTGATATCTGCATGGGAAGATGGTTCTCTGCACTAGATATCCTCCAACCCCAGACAAGTAGTTGGTTGGCATCACAGGCATGCACTACAAACCAGATGAACATTATCTTTAATAAACTGCTTCCTTGAAAAAAAAAAGATACACTAAGTCAATGAAAGAGTATGGCTTTCTTTCTTTTTCACTTTCTAAGTTTATATCATTGTTCTTATTTTATGTCTATTATAGTCTATTTAAATCCATTTCTAGCCACAAGGATGCAAATATAATGTCAGCTGCTGGAAAACTGCTTGATATGACTCAGAAATATGCAACTGGTAAACCAATAAACTACATGTTTGCTAGATTATTAAACAGAAAATTTATACATCTGTGGATTAACAAGATCAACACACATTGAATCTGAACCAAGAGGGAAGGCACTGAACACAGATGCAAACATGTTCACAGTGAGCACCGATAAAACTCAAAAGGAGGAGTCCTGTGGTCTTATAACTATGATTTTGTAACTCACTGCAGAACAATGAAAGACAGCACTGAACAACACAAAGTAATAAGAAGTCTGACCCATCTCTACAGGTATTTTAGCAGAAGGCAAGACTGCCCTATTAAAGATTCAAGCCCAGATAAGAAGCGGAACCCGGGGACTGGAATTTAGCACAGTAGTTGAGTGCTTGTGTTTTTCATCAGTTTTGTGCTATTCAGGTCTCCATGTCTACACAAAATAATAGGGAAATGATCTCTGAAAAACCTGGCCCTAAAAACTACAAAGTTCCTGGAAAGCAGACCACATTTCTTGTTTTGAAATCCCTTTCCCCTTCAGAATCTACGTTTTCAGAACCATGACATTATTCCTTGCCCACACCCTTTGCAAGTGGACTTCATGCACCAATGGCACTCCCCACTGGTTCCACACTCCGGAACAACACACATATGCAGAGCCATTCTGCTTCTCGAGAAATTCTGCCACCCCCAGCTCAAGAAGGGCAACAACGAAGGGCATTATTTCCTACCTTTGTCTTGCAGGGCAGGAGCTCTGCTCTCCCGCGCAAAGTGGGAACCATGCAAGTGCACCTGGCTCTGTTGTGGTGTGAACTGATAAATACAATCAATAAGAGTGTAAATTAGATTACATATTAGTTAAAAATATAGTTTATAGATATAAGAGTTTGATAAGTGAGATAAGACAATTATGAAGCAAGAACTGTCATAGACAGGCCTAAGACTCCATTTTGCTGCTTTCTATAAAAAACTGTTACAAAAGCTGTTTTCTTATAAAAATTGTTTTTCTGTACTTTGTATCCCACAAATTGTACCCTAATCAGAATGCAGTGGTAGTCATGGTGAGCTATATCCTGGGTCTGAGTACACTTGTGGGTCTATATGACTTTGAAGTAGATTCTCAGCCCCCACAACACCCGCCCAAATTCAGGAAGCAACTGTCCAGCACCTGCTTGAACCCAGGACTGTGATCAACTGAACTGCAAAGCTAATGCTTGTTTTGCTTCTGTTTATCGCTGGCTTGCTGACTGGAAAATTCCAGTCCTGCCTGGAGCCCACAGGTCCCACTTACTAATGTTTTAATTTCTATGACCGGCTAGCTTACATGATGATAAGCGAGTCACTGAGTTGTGGATTTTGTGCTTATATTCTTTTTGGATGAACCAGGAAGCTGCTGTCCTCCCACAGAGCTTAAATCTCCACGGTGGGTGACAGTCCCTGGCCAGGTAAATAAAGCTCTCTTTTGATTTGAAATTCGGACTTTCAGTGCTTTCTGAGGCGTCTCCTCATAACAGCTCCAGAAAGTTGGAGGCCGCCATTTTGGGTCTGTAATGACGCCCCGCTCCACCCGTCCTCCGCGCGGCAGCCCGTGCTCCTGCCCGGCAGCGCTGACCTCTGGGCCGTGGATGTGACCCCGACACGGCCTCCCCTCTCCCGGCCTCGGTCTGACGTCTATAAAGCGGGGACAGCACCCGCACCTACCTGCTCCGCCGTCGCGAGGACCAGGCAAGAGACTAAAAGGCCATCGCGGTGACCGCGTCAGTACCTCTCGTCAGAGCCTCAGGTGACGGCTCGCCTCCCTGCTCCTCGTCGCCGTCCAGGACAACGCTCGCAGGAACAGCTTCAAGAACGCGGGGAAGACCAAGTTATAGCGGGACAGCGACGGCCAAAGAGCAGCAACCCTCAGACGACGCCAGCGCCTCTCACCTCCCTGGACTCCACAAGCAAATCCGCCGATACTTCGCACAGGCGCACAAGGCGGGGCACTGCGCATGCTCGCTCAGGACCGAGGCGCGCGCACGCGCACTGACCCACCCGCCGCCCACCGCCCTCTAAAGATAGGACAAAAAATCGAGCCCACATAGCCCAGCAAAGATGTAGAGAACCTGTAACTCCCTTCACATCACGGGTGGGAGTGGAAAATGGTGGAAAACAGTTTGTTGGCTCCTTGACCAAGTAAACACAGACTCCCCGTATGAACCAGCAATTCCATTCAGTGTATATTCCCAAAGAACTGAAATCAAGTACCCCAACAAGGATCCATACACACATGCTCACAGATGCATGATTCACCATAGCCAAAGAGGGAAAACCACTCCAATGTCTATCAGTAGATGAATGGGCAAACAAAATAGGTTTTATCCTTATGAAGGAATATTATCAGTTAAAGAAGGAATGAAGTGCTGGATGTGCTGATGTATAGATGTAAATATACAGCCATTGTGCATTCATTGTCTGTCAGTCACAAATTCACCCCCTTTTCTTGCTCTGTGATCATGGACCTGGTCCTTGTAAATCTCACTCCTTTGTCATCCTAACTGGTAAACCTTGTCTGGAGGGGATTCTGGGAGAGAGATGGAGCTTGATTTCACACTTAGTCCCCTCTTTTGTTAGACAAGGAAACTGTACTCAGAAAGTTGTCCCAGTCGTACAGCAATAAGTGACAACTGGAGATAAAGCACGGGTCTGCTGCTGGTGCCCCCAAATTCACCTGCTCTGTAGTTTTTTCCCAAGTCGGCCCCTCTCCACTCCCTCACAGATGAGAGCATACAGCTGGAAACCCTCATTTTGCAGAGCCTGGTTTTCTTTTCCATTCCTCACCCTGATATGGAACCCTATCTTGGTTCCCAGCTGGTTCATTCCATGTTGGTCTCCATTCCACCTCCTGGCCAAGGACCTATGCTCCCACAATATGTGATGCACCTGCATCAGGTGCTGAGTGCCGGTGTGCTGTTGGCTCAAGGAAGTCCTGCAGGGGGCTCAGAGGTGCGACCTATCCATCCAGGTGTCCAGTGGCAGGTGCTGAGTCTGGAGTGGTTGAGAACAATCACCAACTACTTAGGACCTACAACTGTGGGTCTCTAAGGTCAAACAGGAAAGCAAATCACAGAAAGGCTCCTTGACTTGCCCAACACTTTACAGACATTCTCTAACAAAAACCTGCTGGGCTATGTGGGCTCGATTTTTGTCCTATCTTTAGAGCATGTCCCTATCAGTGTGTTTGTTCATCTTATTCTACATTTTAATACTTAAAAACATTCTTTTGGTAGTGAAGATGGACACATGCCTTTATGTTATGTTATTTTATTTTTTTTAATGTGGTGTTGAGGATCTGTGCCTCACACATGCTAGGCAAGCAAGCACTCTACCACTGAGCTACAGCCCCAGGCCTACATTTTAATTTTCTTCTAAAAACCCTTCTGGATTAGAAGCAGTTATTCTATACATGGTTTATAATTTTGGTATTTTTGTGAGAATGTATTTTAATCTTAAAATATATAGAAGAATTATCCTGTGTGCATGAATATCTTTGTACTTAGAATTTGCCACTCTTGTCTACCAATTTGGCCAGGTGATTGTTCAGGAATTTGGAGAGTTGTTTTTCTGAGAATTCTTTAAAGTCCTGAGATCTTTAGGCCTTAGACCATGGAGGAAATAAGTCACATTGTTAGTTTTAGGGCACATCAATTTCCTTATGACAAACCCACATTGTCGTAGAAACCTTACAGAGTGAGTAAATAGGTTTTATCTTTTCTTTCTAATCTGGCAACAGTTAAAAGTGTAGTGTTGAGGATGACTAAAGACTTGCACCGCTTAAGTGCCCAAGGTCAAAGTAGAACAGAGATTTGGAGTGCTGTATTTCAATGTCTCTTATGGCTTGAATATGAGATGTCCCCCAAAAGCTCATTAACAATGAGCTCAGGTGAACAATGTTCACAGGTGAAAAGATTAGATAGATTGTGAGAGCTGCAATCTAATCAGTGAACTAATAATTTGAAAGGACTACTGTACTCAGTGTTAGGTGTAGGAAGATGAGGTGTGGCTAGAGAAAATAGGTCACTGGGGTCACCTGCCTTTGGGTTTGATATTTTTTCCCTGTCGCCTTAGCCCACTCTCCCTGCTTCCTGGCTGCCATGTACTGAGCATCAGGCCCTACTGCCATGGTGCCTCACGTGGGCCCAGAGTCATGGGCTCAGGAGACCATGGACTAAGTCCTCTGAAATCGTGAACCCCAAATCAAGTTTTCCTCCTCTAAATTGTTCTTGTCGGGGATTTGTGTAACAGCAATGAAAAGCTGACCATACATAAAAGCGTATCCTTGTTCTGTCATTTAAAAGGATTAGTGCTATGTTGCAACTTACTTTTAAACTGTGGCTTAAAAGCAGGCATTACTTCAAACCTGCAGGAGAAACACCTAAATAACCTACAGCAAGATTGCACACTGTAACCAGGCATGCTGGTGTGCACCTATAATCCCAGTGATTGGGGGGCTGAAGCAGTATGTTCTCAAGTTTGAGGCCAGCCTCAGCAATTTAGTGAGACCCTGTCTCAAAATTAAAACTTTAAAAATGGGAAGGGAATAGTAAATCAGAGATTTTTTAACCTCAGTGATAAAACAGGGGTTCAATCTTCCATATTTAAAGAAGAAAATAAAAAATATAGTTTACACTGTAAAAGGGTAACCCTAGACAGGTGGGGGAACCCATCTTAGATAGAGTTATGATCCCTGGGAAATTCCACTTCAGACTGCTAGAGGGAAAAATCACAGAAAGACTCTTCTTGAAGCCCATTCAATCAACATTTAAACTGACGAGCCATTTGGGAAGGCACCTAAGACCAATTCCTCCTCATCTATGCCTCTCTAACAAGGATTCTAAGCAGAACCAGTTACCAGCCAGCTTTCAGGGGCGCTGTCTCTAACGAACAGAAGAGAAAGTGGGCCTTGGAGGTGATTAATGTGTGTCAAGCTTAGTTCTGTGAGCTTCACCAACAAGGGTACCTTTAAACCTCACAGAAATCCTAGGGCAGCAGTTTTTCCATGAATCAGGGGAACAAGGCTCATATGAGATTCCTTGTCCGGGAAGTCTGACCCCAAAACACAAGTCTGACCCCAAAGCTCATGCTTTTCTTATTTAGAGTTCCCATAAGGCACTGTGGTTTCTATCAAAAATATTTCTCTACCTGCTCTCTTGGCCAGGGTGTGAGGCAGCAGGAAACTTGATTCAAACTCTGACTGAACTGGACAGGAGTGGATTGGTGCCTGTGAATTTACATAGTCATCACTTCACACACACATGGACTGGGAGTGTAGATCAGTGGTAGAGCACTTGCTTAGCGTGGGACAAGGCCCTGGGTTCCATCCCCAGCACTACAAAAAAAAGAAAGAAACACACACACACACACACACACACACACATATGAACATCTCAATGAAAACCATTAATTACCTGATAATCTTTCTTCAAGAAGCGAAAGTAGGGGCAGGGTAAGGGACAGGAGCTTTCCGGGCTTTGCTAAGGGGCCACAATCCTCCTGCCAGGGCAAGCTGCAGTGGCGCCACATACTTACAAGCCCAGCCCATGCCCTGCCCAGAGCTTCAGAAGGGCTCCTAAGCCTATATTCCTCCATTGGCCTTCGATACTGGTGCATTTCCTAAAGCACAGAACCTTCATTCTTTTTTCTTTTCTTTTTTTTTATCACTCAAATGGAGAAAAGGCAAAACAGTTACAGAGGCTGGTAGAAATATACAGTCTGTGGCTATTTTAATTAAAATTAAAGTAGCCAACTGTGAGGATGGCCTTAGGCCTGAGCTTAAGCACCTCCATTTTAAAAACTCGAGTTTGAAACCTGCAGTCTCACCATGCACGCCTAATGGAGCCCTTCAGTGTGGCCCTCAGACACAAACAAGTCACTTCCCCTCACCCTGATAAACTCAAGAGTGAACCCTGGCAGGCTATCCTTGCCCGATAATAGGGAAAGGTGAAAAGATCAGGGTGGGGACCACCAGGTGAGATGTTTTAACCCCAGAGTAAAATGATGTTACTGAGAAATCCAGTGATAGCTGATAAGGATCGAAAGGGGGATCAAAAGCCCCAAAATTTAGTATAAATAATAGAGCAAAGGAACATTCAGCCAGCCGATACTGATGCACACAAGATGGAGAGCCTGATGATGACCTGGACTGACATCCCATCACTTGTCATCGGTTGCTGATCCTCTGTATCTTCCTCACCGCTCTCAAACTCTACAGCCACATCTTGACCCTGGTAAGAGCCACAACTTCTCCCTAGGACCGCCTCCTCAGCCGGCTGTCAGCTTCCCCCAAGAAAAGCCTGCCTTGGTTCCTGACCTGATCACCAAGGTCTAAGTGTGTGTGCATCTGCTGGACTTAAAGCCTAAGGCTTGAGACTTTTGATCTGACACTTGAACTTAGCATGCAGAGGAAATGTCTGTCATTAGCCTGTCATGATTAAGTGTGTTACAGTGCTTAGAATTAATTAATCCACAGAATTGTTTGCTGTGAATTGGTTATGTCTATTGCAGTGCCGAGAATTAAGGATTATCATTTTCTTGATTAAGAACCTATAGAGTGAAATTGTATTGAGTGATTTGAGTGAATAAAGCATTGAAAAGGGCAGAAGCAAGTGGAATTCTTTATTTCTCCCCCTCAACTGCATAAGTCACACCTTTTGCCCATCCCAACACCAACTTCAAAGTTTTTTGTTTTTGTTAGTGTTGGGGATCAAATCCAGGGCCTTGCACAAGGCTACTTCAATTTTATGTGGAAAATTTACTTATGTAGATGTCACATCCTCCATAGGTGCTAGACAAATTACATAGTATACTCATCCTTCTTTCTTTTTAAAAAAATTTTTAGTAGTATATGGACTCAATGCCTTTATGTATTTTTATGTGGTGCTAGGATCACACCCAGTGCCTCACACTTGTGAAGCAAGTGCTCTCACACTGAGCTATAACTCCAGCCTTCATCCTTCTTTCTCACAGCAAAAACGATACTATTCATTGGAGACTTTATTTATGCCTCACCACACTCAAGTCTACTTATGGGACTGAGGCAGTTGTACTTTGCTTGTTCACTGGTACCTTTGCTTATATTCCATTTGTAAGTGACAATTCATAGGATGTTACCCTTTAAAAATTACCTTTTCCAAGTAGCTTTTCTGGATAAGACCATAACTTTGCTATCACATGATTCAATCATGTACTTTTTAAAGTCTGAATTAGCTATTTATTTTCTAATGTTTCACTTAGGTATGCCACTGCTCCACATAGGAATTCAGTTCCATTTTGACAGCAACTTAATAACAGAATCTTCAGAGAAATAAGTCCTACCTCAAGCTAATAAGGGATATATTAAGAGGAAGGAAAGGTAGGTTTTTTGATATTTGTGTTCTCTTTATATTGTTGAATTACAGATGTGTTGAACTGGGTTCTTATAAAAAGAAATCTAAAGATTAAAGAAATGTTTACTGGAAAAAAAAAAAGGAAAGAAATGAAAGTAACTGAAACAGGGCTTCATAAGGGGAGTCCCACAGGCAAGGCCTTTGTTTCCAACACAGGACGACTTGGCTAGTCCTGCACTCCAGCTCAGGCACCCTCCTTTAATTAGATGTCATCCTGGTTCACCATGAAATGGTTTTGACTTCTTAGACAATTTTATTTTTATGTGGGAATAATGACTACAGGTGGCTTGACATTCTGAGGTTCCAGTTCTTGTTCTGTGCATGTTGCTCTGTGGTAAGTGACCCCAGCTTGTCTGATTTACATGTGCAAAGACAGGTATGAGCCCCACTAAGCCCACCCACTCCCCAGTCTGGGCAGCAAAGGGTCTGCTGGACCTACTGCCGCTGGATTCCCACCTTTCCTTCACACTCAGAAGGAAGAGGAGACAGACCACAGCCACTAAACCAAGATTAGGATGCTGGGAAGACAGACTGCTACACAAAGCAAGAACACAAAGCAAGAGATGAAAATAAAATGAGGTTAAACTATGTAATTATACTGTCAATTTAGAAAGATGTTATGACCCACACTAAATGCACATACAACGCATCCGGCTCCCTTCCTCCAACATTTTAATGCAGGAAGCAAAAATACTACATTCTCCTTGTGGTAAGCACTGTTAGTGTTCAACACTTTTATATTGATGGTGCATCACATAAAAACTAAGTCATAAACATTTAAATTGTTTTTTATTTAGTTGTAGATGGACACAATACCCCTATTTATTTGTTTCTATGTGGTGCTGAGGATTGAACCCAGTGCCCCACACATGCTAGGCACTCATCCTACCACTAAGCCCCAGCCCCAGCCCCAAAGTCGAGTACTTTTACATAAATCAAAACAATATTACAAATCAATACAATGGCAAAATCAGGAATCCAGAATTATATTTTTTCCACAAAATACATAAAGTTTTACAGATTGTTGAGTGAAATGTTTGCAGCCCTATAGAGCTTTTGCTGCCCAATGAAAAACAAACCACAACATGGGATGTTCAAAAGGTTAATTTGTAGGACAAACAATTCATTCTGTATTTAATAAAATATTTATTTAGGATGGTAACACCAGATAAGTCATGTAAGAGCTCAGTAAAAACAAAAAAACAAAAACAAAAACCACAATATAAGGAATGGAGCTTAGGCGAGGGCGGCAGCGCCACAGCAGGCATGACTCTGGAGGCTGAGTCAGAGCAGGAGGATCTGGGACCTGTAGGGAGGCGCGGCCTGGGCCCTTGGAGCACACCTGTTTGGCGAGGGCAGGTTGGAGGCCTGGGAGCAGCAGGGGCCTCTGTTAGCGTCCACGCCTCGGCCCCCTCGGGAGCAATAACGGCCCCAGGAACCGCTAGTTCTTCTCTGGACCCGTAATGGCCCTCGGAATCATCTGCACCCAGATCTGTCCCGAGCAGCGGCGGGAACTTTCTTCCCCTCCCTTCCCCAGAGCCAGACCTGGGAGCAGCCAGGACTGTGGTGAGTCTGGGCTGAGCTCCCTCCGAGCTGTGCACAGGAGCACAGTGAAGTGTCCAATGTGCGCAGGAGTGAGTGTGCAGCTGGAATGCCAGCTGTGTTGGAAGTCAGGCCCTGCCAGCCCTGAACCTCACCTTTCACACCAGGAAGCCACCCAGAACCTCAGAGCCCCGGGGTTCATTTGTGGGTGTGGTCGCTATCTCCTTGGCTAAGTGACTAAAATCAATCTCTAACCTTCTCCCCTCACTGGAAGTCCACTGGCCCAAAGTCCCAAACTTTCTGGCCACAAGTTTGGTAGCCAGGCCTACCAGGAGCCAGCTTATCAGAGTGACCAAGACCTCCCTGTCATTAGCGACAAGGGAGTGGTCTATGAAGGTCTGTGCAGGATCAAGAGGGGCCCAGCGGGCAGATATCTTCACTGTGCCTCACCTGTCCTGAGGTGGGTGGGTCTTCTGCTCACTTTTTTATTGTCTTAACCGCTTGCCCATTGGGTGGTGTGTTCTTGGACGGAGTGTGGGACAGGGCCTAGTCTGCCAAGGACGGTGCGCACCTGGTCCTAGGGATAGGCATGGCTACAGTAGGTGACCAGTGCATAATGTCAGGTGAATGAGCTCAGCTTGGCTCCTACCACAGAAGCCTGGCCACAGCCACCACTGTGCCCTGGTGCATGACACCACCACTCTGCCCCCATGTGTGGGCCACAGCCTTTCGGCCAGAGAAGAAGCCGAGGCTCAGGCTCAGGCTGGTCCCTGGATGTATCAGAGGGCACAATGGTCCTACTTGTGCCTCCACTTCATCCACAGTGATGGTAACACGTCATCAAAAGCCACGCCATTGAAAAAGCCAGGAAAGCAAGACTGTCTCCTCCCTCCACCGTCCCTCCGAGTGCTGCTGACTCCTCCCATCCATGAGGTCGGTGTGCGGTGCTCAGTGGGGCCTGGACTGTGCAGAGGCTCCTCACTCCCCAGCAGACCCTCACACTCTCAACCAGAGCTGCACAGGGCCAGGGGCGAATGGGTGGGGCATCCAGAGGGAGGGCCATCCATCCTCCTGCAACCATCAGGATGGTAGCCTGCACAACACTAGAGGTTAGCCTGTGACAGTGTCCTGAGGCTGCTTCAGGTCCAGCATCAAACACAGGGCTACATCCTCTCGAGTTCCGAAGGCTGAGAGTCCAAGGTAAGTGTCTGGTAGGCCGTGCTCCCGCCCAGGCCCCGGAGGAGGAGCCTTCCTGCCTGGTGGCTCCTGGTGGTTCCTGGCTGCAGCCACACAGCCCCATCTCCCCAACGTCTTCCTGTGGCTCTGCCTTTCCCTTCCTGTAAGGACTGCAGTCCCTGGATTACAGCCCATCCTGAATCCAGGATGCCCTCCTCTAGAGAGCCTTAACTAAGAACACCCACAGAGATCCTAGTTCTGCATAAGGTCCCCCCAGGTCCTGAGCAGATGTGAACTGGGGGCATCCTGTCACCCTAGTGCTGGCTGCTCCCACTTGGCGATGAGGCCATCTTTCTCCTCAGCTTACAAAGTAAGAAAATGAGACACAGGTACTGGAAGTAACTGGCTCTTCCCCCTGCGGCTGGCTGTGGTGGCTCTGCAGGATCTTCCTTTGCTCATAGTAGGTTGGGGTGATGAAAAGGATTACAAGAATGAAGGAGTTAAAAGCATCAATGTGCTCCTGTGTCCTCCCAACTTGCTTTTTAGCTTTTCTGGGGTGTGGGCACTTTGGGGCTCAGGAACCAGCCAGATCTGGGCTCAAATTGCACTGTATCCTTTGCTAGCTTTGTGACCTCAGACAAGTTACTGCACGTCTCTGTGCTGTTTCTTCACCTGTAAAATGGTGAACATAAGGGTCTTATTGTGGTGCCAAGTTCAAGAAAAAGCAGTCTAACAACTCAGGGAGCAGTGCCTCTCCTTTCCCTGTGTGTCTCTTGAGGAAGGCTGACCAGGCCCACTCCTCGCCCACCCCTTGCCCTGACATACTTGGTGCCTCCTCGTTCTCACTGCCCTCTTATTCCTATTTTTGAGCCTCTCTCTATATGGCTTGAATTTTCTTTCTTCTCTCCCATTTTCTCTGCTTCTCTTTATTGTGTAGACCAGCCTAACTTTGCTCCCAGAAAGCAACAAGTCTCCTCTTTCTCTAGGGGTTGGGGAGGGGCGGACAGTGAGAGACAGAATGGCAAATATGAGACTCTTGCAGGGGGTGGGCTTGGTGAAGGAGAATCCCTGCAAGTCAGGGATTTGGTCTTTTCCCACGAGCAATTACGTAAAAGCTATTAGTGCTCGTTATGACTACGAACAGAATGAATGAGCAGGCTCCGACACATCCCACTGCTGCCCGCTATGGTGAGGACGCCCCATCCCCTGACGCCACGGGGCGCTGCAGGGCCGCTCTGCAGTGCAGAAGTGCTGGGGAACTCCTGCCTGGAGAACTCTTGGTCAGTGACCCTGGGAGCCCCTCCCTGTGGTGGCAGGACCCCACACCTGAGTGCCAGTCTTACTCCGGGGTGTCCCACACATTCAGCACAATCACCAGAGTGGCACTGTCTAGTCACACACCCTCCTTAACCATGTTACTCCCCAGTATCTTTCCCCCTTATAAACTACCTACCTGGAGTCATTGTCTCCAGGTCTGCTCTGGGATAGTAGTGACACTTGGGGACAACAGTCCCATCTAGGGCCTCTGACCACTCTGTGGGTATTGCCTTCCTACAGAAGCCAAGCTCCCTGAATATGAAGAGCCTGCTGTCCAAGGTGTACCCCCCAGCTGGGGTGGAGCTGGGCACCCTGTGGCCAACAGGGGAGGCTGGTAGCCTAGCCCTGAGCACCCAGGTGCTCAAGGAGATGGCCCTGGGCACCAAAAGCATTGCCCTCATTGCAGCCAGCCGACGCTCCAAAGCACAGGATTGGGAGGGCAACAGCAGGCGCTCCTCCCGCCACCTCCTAGAGGAGGCAACCCTGGATTCCAGAGACCTGAAGCCCAGCACCACCCCTGACCCCACCCTGGCAGATAGGAGCTGGCCCCATGCCAGCCCACGCAGGGACCATTCCATGGAAAGGAAGTCCAGGAGGAAACGCTCACCCTCGCTTACCTGGAGCGTGCATTCGGTAGGTGCTAGGGCACTGGAGGAGGACAGGAGGGCAGGTCAGGGACACTGAGTCATGGTTGACACGGGAGGCCCCAGTTCCTCACCTGTCCCTCAGCAGTTTCAAGCTCATATGTGATCTTGAATCACATGTGTCCATGTTCCATTCGAGAGAGAGATTGAGACTTATTACCAGGAACTGGCTCAGGTGATCATGGAGGCTGGAAAGTCCCCAAATCTGTAGGCTGAGTCAGCAGCTGGAAGCCCCAGAGAGTCAGTCTGAATTCAAGGCTAAGGGTGGGAAAAAGTCAATGGCCCAGCTGGAGGAACTCTCTCTTATTTGGGGAAGGGCCTGCCTTGTGTTCTGCTGAGGTCTTCACGTGATCAGAGGTGGCCCACCACATTAGGAGGGCCATCTGCTTTTCTCATCCAGATGTTACGCTCACCCAGAAGCACTCTTCCAGACACCCCCAGAATAATGTTTAGCCAAGTATCTGAGCACTCCGTGGCCCAGACAGGTTGACGAACATAACTGACCACTGCCCTGGGTTTAGACGAAAATTCCCACTGCTAGAGGACTTTATAAGGGGAAAGGGGGACTCACTGTTAGAAAAGGGTCATTTATTCATTCAGTGGGGACTGAGGAGATTAGTAGGAATTCTGCACATTTTGTACCTAGAGGCTCACAACAGTCTGTCACACGGCAGCTGTTTAATCAGTGCTCCCCTTGCCATCCTGTCCCTTCAGCACCCATTCCTCACTCCACACCACACCTGTTGTGTGACCTTTCCTGCAGGAGAAACTTCAGCCCCACTCTGTGGAGCACCTGGTGGACAGCCAGCTGCCCCCAGCGCACCTTCAGCAGTCAAAGTCGCCAGGAAAAAGCTTTCTCCCTGCTGTCCCCGTGGCCTCCAAGATAAAACCCAGCCTCAGTTTCCACACAGGTATGGCATCCAAGGCAGAAAACAGCATGTCAGTTTTTTCTGTATCCTATGACACTGTCCCTCCTTCCACATGAGCATCTTAGAAAGTATGAAAGGCTGCCCCGTGATCAGCTGTCCCGGTGAGCTGGGGCCACTGGCTTCCTGAAGATGGGGCCGTGGGCTCGCCTTGAGCCTGCCGACTCTCCAGATGGCGATTGAGATTGGGTGTAGTCCCCAACTCTATGTGCCTGTGCTCCTGTCCTAAAGGCCAGTTAGTGAGGTCAGAGGGTGGCTCTTTGGGTGTTATGATAAAAACAGTTAACTTTATTTTGCTACGTAGATCAAAATTATACATGAGAAGAACCATTTATGAACCCTACCACCCAGAAGTAGTCACCAAGAATAGTATCCTGTCTCTGCCATTGATGTGAATAGCCCCTCCCCTTACAGGAAGTCAGGGCTATGTGTGATTCATCACCACCGCAAACGTGGTGACCTGCAGCAGAGGTCAAGACCAAGTATTTGAGAATACAGTACAAGTTTGGTGGTACCGTGACTCATGACCAATGGCTTAGTTCTATATTTTTGTTTACTGATTTATTTTTGCAGCATTAGAGATTGAACTCAAGGGGGCTCTACCATGAGGTGTATCCCCAGCCCTTTTTGATTTTTGAGACAGGATCTTGCTAAAGTTGGAGACTGGTCTTGAACTTGTGATCCTCCTACCTCAGCTCCCCAAGTCACTGGAACCACAAGTGTGCCCTACTGTACCCAGCTAGTTCTGTATTTTAAAAAATGCTATATTTTGCTAGGGGCAGCGGTGCATGCCTGAGGCAGGAAGATGGCAAGTTTGAGACAGAAGAGACTGTCTCAAAATAAAAAATAAGAAGGGTTGAGGATGTGATTCAAAGTGTCAACCCACAGAAGACTGTAAGGAAGTAGAGCAAGCTCCTCCTCACCAAGGTGGCTGGGAGCACCAGCTGACCCGGGGGTTACATGATGGTGCCCATTTACTGAGCACACACTGCACCAGGCACTATGCTATGCACCCTTCAGGATGCATCTTTATCCTCATAATAGTCCTGTGAGGTAAGGAATGGCCCCCTCTATGTTATATGATGAGTAAACTGAGGCACAGAGATGTTGAGGAGTTTGCTCAAGTCCACATGGCTGGGAGTGGCAGAGTTGGGACTTGAAACCAGGTGAACTGGCTCCAGATTGCTAGTTCATGACCACAGTTCCATGTCCTTTTGTTTTTACTTTATAAAGGTGTGGTCTCTGGATCAGAGGGTGTGCACATTGGGGGGTTATGGATGGTATTTCAAGGACAGTGGAAGCAGACATTGCCAGGTTTACTGTCCACCTTGCCACAGACATGCAGCTTGGCACTTCAGAAGTGTTTGATCCTGATGACAAAATTGACAGAATGAAGTCATCAGCAGTGTGTGTGTGTGTGTGTGTGTGTGTATGTGTGTTTGGTATCAGGGATTAAATTCAAAGGCACTTAACTATGAGCCACACCGTCAGTTCCCCCCTTTTAAAAATATTTTTAGTATTTATTTTAAACAAGGATGGAAAGAAAATATTTTAAATGACACAATGAACTTAATCCACGGAAAAAGTATACATAGTTGATATTAGAATATACATATCTTTGGGATTTTTTAATTCTTTTAGTCATGTATCACAGTAGAATCTATTTTGATATGTTTATACAAGCATGAAATGTATCGATATTCTAATTAGGATTCCAGTTCTTAGGGATGTACATAATGGTGAGATTCACTGTGGTGTATTCATATAGGTACATAAGAAAGTTATGTCCAATTTGTTCCTCTGTTTCTCCTACTCCTATCCCTCTTCCTTCCGGTCATTCCCCTTTATCTAATACACTGAACTTGTATTCTTCCTCTACACATTTTTATATACAACTAATTGTTTCTGTAAAAAACAGGTAATGAGGGCTGGGATTGTGGCTCAGTGGTAGAGCACTCATCTAGCACAGGCGGGACCCGGGTTCGATCCTCAGCACCACATAAAACTAAAGGCATTGTGTTGTGTCCTCTACACCTAAAAAATAAATATTAAAAAAACAGGTAATGAATTATATATAAAACTGATACCAAATTGTGGGGGGAAAACTATCAAGCTATTTTTACCCAGCTTTAGGTGAGTCAAAGATTTTAATAGAAACCACCATGTCACATGATCATGTCTTTGGGCATGAGCAGGTGCCGCAGTCCGGCTGCAGCAAAATAACCTGGGGGTGACTAGGAACTTGTGTAGATTGATACAGCAGGAGTGGAAGCCATTTATTGTAGGACAATAGAGGTATTTATACATTCCACACAGCTTATTAATTAGCATAAACTAGATACAGCAGTCAACCAATAAGGAATCTCCACACTTAATGGCTCGCTGGCGTTACTTCACAAACCACTCCCTCTGGCAAAATGCCAGGCGCCATCCTGACTTGTTTACAGACTCTAACAAGCAGGAGCAGAATGAGCATGTTCAGAGGATGCTTTCCTGTTTCCATTATGTAAGCTATGCATAGTGAAGAATAGGACCGGGAGAAGCCAAGTCCTCTTCATTCTCACCTTCTATGAGCCCAAACTCTCCCATCATGTATCTCTATGTCTATGTCAGACCCCCAATTCAAGCAAAATGCAGATTGTTAAATCCATAATCAAACCACCAAAGAAAGTAGACGAAATTTATACAGAATTGTTTCCCTGATGAGTTTAGATGTTTTTCATGTTTCTTAACATATTTTTGCATACCTGGGCTTGTGGATGCAACTTAGGAACCAAGTTCACCTTTTTATTTTTTATTTTGAGACAAGGTCTTGCCAAGTTGCTTAGGGTCTCATTAAGTTGCTGAGGTTGGCTTGAACTTGAGATCCTCCTGCCTCTGCCTCCTGAGCCTCTGGGATTACAGGCATGAGCCTCCATGCCCAGCTTGTAGTACCATTCCCCACCCTCCAAACTTGAAACACTTTTAAAAACAAAATGTTCTTTATGGGATTTTCTGTTTTCAGGAGTAGCCCCCTTCCCATTATATGCTCTTAAAACAATGAAAAGTCACAGAGAACACAGAGTGGCCTAGAGTGGGAGCTGGGAGTCAGGGATGGGGCTGGCCTCCCCCAGCACTCCCAGCTGACAGGCAGTACACAGTGCCAGGCTCCAGTCATGCCAGGGGGTGTCCATGATAGCCCCTTCCTGGATCAGGGACTTAAAAATGCCTGTGCAATTATGTGTAACGGCTCAGCCTGGTGGGTGGGTATTCATATCTCCTCTAGAAATGAGCCTGTGGGGATGTGTTTGTATGTGATCAAAAATTACATTTTCTTTCCCCAACAGACTATTGTGAAATTTTTAAACATAGACAGGAGCTGAGACAATAATTACAATAATCTCCATGTACCCACCACCCAACTTGTTTCTTCTCTCTCTATACTTTTGTTTGTTTGTTGTTTGATTTCCTGGGGATGTCTCAAGAAAACCCAAGATCGTGCCATTTTATTTCATTTCAAGAGCTCCCTGACAATAGAGCTTTCCGTGTGGTAGATAGAAGAACAAAGAGCTGTTCCCTAAGATCATCTCATGCTATCTGCGTACAAAAGAAGACCAACTTTGCAGATAAGCAAGAGTAGTCTGCACTGGCCCTCTCAGTGGGCAGGAAGGGGCTGCTTCTCCAGGATCAGGCCGAATTCCTGCTGTCCTCCCCAGGAAGTGGCTCGATGCCCTTCTCAGTGGTGCCAACACAGTCTCTGTGGGGCCAGGGTTCTCAGCTCTACAGCTGTGGGGTTCTGTGATCAAAAAGTTAAGAGCTGGATGGTCCTTCAAGATCTGTAGCCCAGCTGGTTCAGGTGGGTAAACTGAGGCCTGGAGAGTAGAAGTGACATCTCTAGGGTCACATCAGGTATTGATGGCATGGTTAAGATTGGTGCCAGTGCTGCTCTCTCCACCTGGCTGCCGTGCTTCAAGAAAGAATGTACTTGTGTTTTCTGGTGTACAGAAAGGGCTGGCAGGAGGTGGGGCAGACCAGGTATCCCTTCTTGGCAGGGGCCAGACAGCTCTTCACTGCACATAGGTCCCCTGGGGAGCTGGAAGATCACAGATGTACAGTGTTTGCAGAAGGCTGGGCTCCCAGATGGCATCTTGGCCCAATGAGTTTCGAGAGCTGAATGAGACAAGGAGGAAGAGTGTAGAACAACGCGACTTGGGCTTGGACACTCAGGGGGCTTCTCTGTAGGGTGATGTTGGGCAGAGACCTGA